TATTCATAAGTGTAAAACACTATTTATAGTTGCGTTTTAGTAAAAATGCAAATCACACCTATTTTGAATTAATTTAAGCAAGTCTATAAATAGTTAGAGTTAGTATTACAGTTTAAATTAGCTCAAAATAGATGGTTTTTATATATTAAAGCCTCATAATAATTATATATGCCCTATACTAAAGAAGATCCTAATTTTTTTTTTTACCGGAAAATACCATCATTATAATTCTGTCAAATTTAGTCATAACTCAAGACTTAGTTAAACGAACAATAAATTTAGCAAATTTTTGATCGAATTTTGGACAACTTAGTAAATTATTCATGCTTTTCAATATTACACAAAATCTTTTATCGGTCAGAATTATAATATAACAGATGTCCAATAAACTTTATTTATTCTCTAATTTTTTGTAACTTTCAAAAATTTACCAGCCACAGTCGATTATCAATATCACAAAAATATTGGCTAGGTTAAACAAACACGCATATATATATGGAATATGCTTTATAAACTCTAAATCTGTTATAGGCAGCGTCATACTATACATTGGACAAAAACATCAAACTTTAATCTAATAAATGATCATATATTATTGGATATTTTGGTGGATCTTAGAATTCTTATTCATTATTCGTTTATCCGTTTATCTATTGAATATCCAGATCTGAATTTATTCGGATATCCGTTTTACCGAATATTTGTCGGTTTATTCGGATAAATTCAGATACGGATAAATGGATGACGGAGTTATCCAGATTGGAACTCCAGTGGACCTAGTTGAATTTTTAATATTAATGATTTTATAAATTTAATCCAATAATTAATTTGGTAAACTTTCAATATCCAAGTTCAATGAACCCATTGAATCGACATCACTAGATTTATATAATTTCGTTATAGGGTTAATTTTTTAACGGTATTAGTAAATCGTGATCACAAAAAACGCACTAGCGGATGCATTATGCAGTATAAAATTCGTTATATGCATTAATGATAAAATTTGTCAGCAGGCTGACAAAATAACTGTTTTGCCAAGGTGGGATTTTATCATTAAATTCATTGTAACTTTTAATTTTTCTATAAAAAATTTGGTACTCAAATTTGATCCGTTACATGATAGCTGACTGTATACAATAATAACCATTCATTAAGAAATATGTGACTGGCTCACCGTACGTATAAATATTTATTAACCAAATGTTTGTTCCGATCTTGGTTCCTAAAGTGATGTACGTATGTACATCGTACGCATGTACTATCGGTCTGATAATGCAGTTCTAACAAATTTATTATAGTATTTTAAAATGTTAAAATACGCATATATACGTTGTATTTTCATTCAATCACAATATCATGCTCGGAAACTTAAAATGTGATACAAAGAAATCTTGCGCAATTGTAGTACAGGTTATTACAATATTTAACTTTTCAAGTCGATAGTGCTTCCTTAGTTTAGAGTTTCACTTTTTAATCTATTTCCTGATAAACGCTACACAACGCCATACAACGCCATAGGTATGCACGTATACTCATGTGCGCATGTAATAGAAGAATTGGGATTATTCCGGATAAGTCCGACGGCACAAAATAAAGAAAACGGGTGCGTATCAAAAATGCGTTTGGCATATGTAAATTATTCTCTCTTTAGCCATCGTCTACGTTAACCACTAACTATAAATCTCTAACTTTGCATATTTTGTATTTATATCTCTGTTATTATAGTTCCTTTTTTGCGTAAATAAGCAAATCAGCCAAGAATCTTGCTTAATATCGAAATAATTTACATAATATTTTGTGTGGAGTATTTTTTGTAATGATTTAATGCTAAAATGGGAAATGTCGTACATTATATAATATGGTATGTTGTGTATCATACTTTTGAAACGATGCAGCATAAAAAAAGAAAATGTCGAATAGTACCACCTAAACGTTCCAAAAAGAGAATGATAACTATCGATATTGAACTTAAAATCAAATCAATGACTAATTCATAACCTGAGAGAGTTTAATGGATTTCCCATTTTCAATATTATTTCATTGAAGATATAACAAATTTATTTGTGTTGTCAAATTTATTTTATTGTTTTGAATCACATTCTAAAAATAAACTAAATAAAATTACCGAACACTTACGACAAATTACTACGTTTAAATTAAGGAACTTCATCCGCTCCAAGGTTTATCACTTCGCAAATAGCCTTGCTAAAATAGTCTTAATGAATTTAATATTCGTAATATGCAACCAATTAATAAGTTCGATTTCTTTATGAATCATTTATTTTTACTTTACTTCTTTTTCAATAAGCCGTATTTCTTATTTATGTGATTTAATTTCTCGGAGCGTAATTCCTACAAAATCCGTTTATTTACTCTATTTACTTATTCAGAAAGAAATTTGTGCCAAGGAATTTAATACGTATAATATATTGCTTCACTTCAAGAATACTAAATCCGGAACATTATTAGAGCGATTAAATGTAACTAAAAAAATTTTTTTTTATAAATTAAGCGTTGCCTGTTTTTTTTTTTCTTTTTACTTTGGAAAATTATTTAATTCTTTTTTGTTAATATTTTTTATCATGGTTGTAAAAATTTCTCAATTCATTGCAATATTTATATTCATAATATTACCACTTTATGTGTTTGTAAATGCTATTCCTACCTCTAATCCAGGTTTCATAAAAATTCGTCTAAGAAGAGTCCATACATCAGAAATAGATCCTGGTTTATTATCATTATTAAAACGTGATCCTCAAGGAAAAGAAT